CCCCCCCCTCCCAGAGGATGGGAGCCCAGTTTGGTTGCCCAGTTTGGCCACCGGTGTGGGGGTGATGGTGCTGGTGACCCCCCATCTTGTGTCCCCCCCACCTCAAGGAGCCAGATGGGGGTCGATGGCACCTGGTGAAGCCCCCCCGGTGGTGGCCGTGTGTCCCCATCCTCTCCCTTCCACGTTCCTCCACGTTCTGGTGGCCACTCGTGGTCCTTCTCACCCATCACCAGCCCTCGTGGACCATGAGGATGTCACCATGGTCCCTGCAGAACATCAGGATGTCACCATGGTCCCTCGTGGATGACGGGGACGGCGCCACGGACCCACGTGGGCAGTTGGGATGTCACCACGGTCCCTTTTTGGACGATGAGGATGTCACCATGGTCCCTCATGGATGATCAGGATGTTGCCGTGGTCCCTCATGGATGATCAGGATGTCACCGTGGGCCCTCAGGGATGATGGAGATGGCACCAGGATCCCTTTCAGATGATGAGGATGACACCATGGACCCACGTGGACCATCGGGATGTCACCACAGTCCAACGTGGACCATCGGGATGTCACCATGGTCCCACATGGAGCATCAGGATGTCACCATGGTCCCATGTGGACGATTGGGATGTCACCACAGTCCCATGTGGACAATCAGGATGTCACCATGGTCCCTCATGGACAGGGGATGTCACCATGGTCCCTGCAGAACATCAGGATGTCACCATGGTCCCTCGTGGATGACGGGGACGGCGCCACGGACCCACGTGGGCAGTTGGGATGTCACCACGGTCCCTTTTTGGACGATGAGGATGTCACCATGGTCCCTCATGGATGATCAGGATGTTGCCGTGGTCCCTCATGGATGATCAGGATGTCACCGTGGGCCCTCAGGGATGATGGAGATGGCACCAGGATCCCTTTCAGATGATGAGGATGACACCATGGACCCACGTGGACCATCGGGATGTCACCACAGTCCAACGTGGACCATCGGGATGTCACCATGGTCCCACATGGAGCATCAGGATGTCACCATGGTCCCATGTGGACGATTGGGATGTCACCACAGTCCCATGTGGACAATCAGGATGTCACCATGGTCCCTCATGGACAATCGGGATGTCACCGTGGTCCCTCATGGACGATGGGGATGACGACACGGTCCCTTTCAGACCATGGAGACATCACCCTGGTCCCCACAGACCATCAGGATGTCACCACGGTCCCTCGTGGACACCAGGGATGTCACCACGGTCCCTTTTGGAGGATGAGGGACGTCCCCGTGGTCCCCACAGACCATCAGGATGTCACCACGGTCCCTCGTGACGGCACCACCATCCCTGTCAAGGACGATGGGGAGATGATGGCACCACGGTCCCTTTTGGAGGATGGGGGGACATCACTGTGGTCCCCACGGAGGATGGGGGACATCACCTCCCCGTCCCCCCCCCACGTTGGTACCCGAGCGGCGGCGAAAGAACCCAAAGCAAGGAAAAAAGCTGCAAAAAAAAAGAAAGTCTGAGAAACGCTCTATTTGCACTTAAACCTTCACACTAACAGCCCCC